CTGGTATTAATGTGATGCATTTGGAAATATGTGCAGGCTTCTGAAGAGAGTAAGATGCTTTCTTGCTGGGTGTAACATTAACTTGCAATGCTCATTTGTCTACTGCAGAGAAAATGTTGCAATAGAAAAGTTAATATTCAAAAGTACACTCAGCTTCTCAGAAAAGAGATAATATAGGATGTCCTCCAAAATGTATACACACTTTAACAGCTGATAAGTCACTTAGTTTTCACTCCTTTTCAGGTTTAACTGATTTGAAATAATGGGTGAAGGTAGACTAAGCTTTGAAGAAAATGTATCCTAATGTGCCACTATACTTTTTTTTTAATGAAAGTTTACGGTACAAAACCGACAACAGTAGATGAGTTGAGGGCACACAAGTACCAAACAAAATAATTCTTAATGTTTGCAATTCCATTTCTTTGCATTAGCAGCAATGAACAGTCATCAGTTTGAAAATATGCATTGACAAAAAAAATTATTTCTGTAGATTCTTTTAAATTCTGAAAAAAAACAAACATCCTGTTATGTTAAACACTGACTTCATAATCATTCAAAGTATGTATGCATATTTGAGAAACCCTGTATATACGCCCCATGTAGCACAAGTAGTGCTAAATGTCTACGAAGATATTAAAGTGGTATTTTTTTAGAAGTGAAGCATTTTTGCTTGATATTGGAAACTCAAGAATATTGATATTTTTTATGACATATGATTAATACTAAACTATTTACATTTAGGAAAATTTTCTCTGGTTGTGATTAATCCGTTTTCTTGAAAAGAAAAAAACCATCAAAATCAGACAGATGAATCATGAATTTTGGCCCACACCACCAAATACATTACTGTTTTAGTTGATTATAAATTACAGAACATCCTAGAATCAGTGACTATTAGAAAATCAAGTAAATGTGTATGTTCAATGAATCTCAGCTTTTAATTATGAAAATCTAGGCAATGCATTTTGTTATTTAGAAAAGAATACTTAAGAATTTATTCAAAGGATAACATGGACACAGACACAGAGGGAAGAGGGGGGAAGAAGGCATGTGCCCGGGATAGGGGAGGTCGGGGGAAGGTCAATGGGGGAAAAAAGAGACATATGTACCACTATTTGTAATAAACAATAAAAAAATAAAGCAAATCAATATGAAAAACTTTGATGAAACGTAAGGGGGAAAAAAAGAATCTATTCAGTCTCTGTACCTTTAGACATTATTGTTAAACTACTGCTGGTCACTACTATCTACACTTTTGCAGAAGATCCCAACATCTTACAGCTTCCAATTAAGTATTCCCTCTTTGTCACATTGTTTCTATAAAGAGCCTATGAAAATTATAATGGCAAACAGAAATTAAATTTGAAAAGTAAAAGGCACAGATCAAACCACTTTGAGAGATAAATGGTAATTACAAGGGGAAATTGTTATCTGGACAATGAATTGTTATTCTGGAAAATGATCTGGACTCTTGATAGCTTTTATAATACAGAAAATTGCAAATTGTGTTTTAAAAGAAATAGCCTCACAATTCCTTTTTTTTTTTTTTTAAATGTTTAAATATTTGACACAATGCACAGCTTGCCTTATTTACAAACTATGTGATAAAAGTAACATATTTTTCAAAATACTTAAAAAAAAATTGTCAGGTTATAGTTTCACATCTACTCCTCACCACCCCCTTCTCTAGTTCCCAAATTTTCTATTTCCTTATTGAAAATCTAAAAGTGATTATCATTCCTTTCCTACTTTAAGGCCAAATTAAAATATATTCGATAATATATGGCTAATATATAAAAAAGATTTTAAGTTAGCTGTAACAGCCATAGATCTAGGGTATTTTTAGGAGACATCCTTAGAACAAAAGAAATTCACTCATATTTATCCAATAATCATGCTTTTTTCTTTTCAGATGACTATTTACCCCCTCCCCCCCCCCAATTGTTGCAATCTACTTTTTTTTTTATTGATTTCAGAGAGGAAGGGAGAGGAAGAGATAGAAACATCAATGATGACAGAGAATCATTGATCGGCTACCTTCTGCACACCCCACACTGGCGATCGAGCCCAAAACCCAGGCATGTGCCTTTTACCAGAATTGAACCCTGGGACCCTTCAATCTGCAGGTCAACACTTTATCCACTTGAGTCAAAATGGGTAGAGCTGCAATCTACATTAAAAAAAAAATAATAATCTTCCTCTATAATCAAAGCAAAACAAGGAGCAGCATACCCATCATCATTACAGAAATGATTGTATACTTTTAACATTATATTAGGTATTTTAATGACAATACTAAACCAATTTTTAATTATATATACTAAATGTATATATTTACTATTTGAAAAATATATTGATTCTACCTATTTTTACTACATATGGTAATTTGTGTCTTTTTCCTAATAGCACAATTACAAAGATAGGAACACAAAATACGTATTAAATATGAAGATTGAAAAAACTTCCTTGGCCTTGGTCTATCATTTTTTTTACCTTTCCTTTGTATACCCATTACAACTGATTTGTCTTCATTACTCTCTCAGGCTATTCCCATCTAAAGACCTTTGGGGTTTCTGAGCAAGGACAGGAATACTATACCGTTGCTATTGGATTAACTTAAATTACAAGTTTAAAAAAGAATGAAATGCTTGATGTTTAAAAAAAAAAAAAAAAAAAAAGCTACACAGAAGCCAAGGGAGAGTAGGAGAGGAGTGGAAGAAACAAAACAAAACAGGGAGAGCGGTTGTGGCCCATCATTAATTATCTGGCAACTCCAGAGCAGAGGTTCCTATTTGGACTTTAAAAGGTCAAAATTGAGAGCACAGCTCTCCAGTTATCAGGTTTATAACATCATTTTTTTTTTTTTTTGAGTAATGCTCAATTTCATCTCTACTTTAAAAAACCGATTCCACTCCAATGGAAAAGAGCTTGCTTCCCATCTACATCTGTAACCGTACAAATGGTAAGGCTTTCTTTATTAGCCCTGAAAACCAAAACAATTTTCCTCTATTATACTCATGATTCCCCCTACCTTCCCCAATTCCCTGCATAAACATCAAACTTCCAGGAAACCGAGAAACTACACAGAGTACAGCCACTAAAGACTTTAACTTATCTCCCTGACTTTTTCCTACCCCAGCCCTCCAAACACACACAACCAAGGTCAATGTGTTTGTTGAGTTTGGCAAGGACAATCATTAAAAAAGGTAAAGTGCAATAGGGTGGTGAAGGCCTGAGACTGGAGGCAAGGGCGGGCTAGAAGAGGTCAATGGGGGGGAAAGGGGGACACATGTAATACTTTCAACAATAAAGGTTTAAAAAGAAAAAATTGGTAAAGCGAAGGCTCACATAATCCTTAATACTAAGTAAAAATTCTAACATCATAAAATCAATTCATTCAACTTTTAACCCATTTGGGAAAGTTTAAGCTTTTAACTTAAAAATATGGTAGTACTTTTTTATATCTTCTTAATTGCACATGCTAACCACTTTATTGCATACTACTGCTTCTTATTAGAAGTAAATCCAGGGACCATTCCATTTTATCTTAGACATAACATTTACTAGTTTTCCAAGCATGACAGAAATGGAAAAATATATATATTAGAGCAAGAACAATTTATGTTAATGTCTACCATTTGTGTTCCTTCTGTGAGCAGTGCCTGATTATATTAAAATTAACAAATTTAAGTTCAGTCCTATGCTTAATGAAAAAAAAATCTAATGAGAAACTAATTTACAAAGTATACAAGAATATAATTTTATAATAAATCTTTCCAGTGTTCGCTGTAACTGCATTACATGAAATGTTTCCCTTCACAAACTCAGAACAGCTCTTATAAAATTAAACAAAACTTTCTGTGTTCATCTCTGGCAAGCATTAAACAAATACAACTTGCTCACAAAAGATCTAAAAGTGCTGTCTCAGGAGCATAAACTACCACAAACATGCTGCATGAATTAGTCTTGGTGAGTGACTATTGTCTGGAACCCCTTTTTCTCATATCAACGAACCCTTTTCATAAGAAGCTGAAGAGAAAACTAAAGCCATTGAAAGAGTGAAACTCAGCATGCTCCCTTCAAATATTTCTAAGATAACCATTCTTAGCAAAATTGGCAGAAGTCATCTTTTTTATAAAAACAAACAAACAAACAAACACAAATAAAACAAGCCAAACCAAAAGGCAAATGCCACTGTTCGATCATCAATTGAACTTACAGAGGCCAAAACATGTGACAACAGCAATAATTCAAGTAAAGTATTTGTGAAAATTTAAACACGCCACTTTCAAGTTAAGACAAAAGTGAAGGGAGCTATGATCTTTATATATCAGAGTAAGAAAGCTTAGGCATTATCATCAAATGTTAATCACTTTACAGTCATCAATGAGACTATTGTATATGTTTTTGCACCTTGCGCTTGTAAAAGCAGATAAAATATCTAATATGTAATTTACAATGTATTTTACCAGCTCAGCATACAGAATGTATATAGATTATATCAAAGTAGTAGACAGTTATAGGGGCCTGTGCAAACCCTGCAAAAATAGTACTTCGGGTATTTGCTAATTAAAAAATAAAAACAAAAACAGTTTACTGTTTAGAAGTGATACAGTTCAAACTACCACAAAATACAAAGGGCTGCAAAATGTATACCATTCCAACAACATATATAAGTTATTAAATAAAGATCTGATTTAAAAGAATATAAATGAAGCCTTTAAGTAGGTCTTTTCTACATGCATATTATTCCTTATTAAAGAAAAAATATGTAAAAAGGCCATTGGTAATTGCTTTGTTAACATTTGTAGAAAATGCCAATTCTCTGGTCACAAACTCCACTAAGTTTAGCACTTAAGGTCTCTGCAGTGTTATAAACGTAATTTAAAATACTGTTAATTCTATCATTCCATTGGTAAAATAATGTGACTTGGAATATGGCAGTCTTCATGTTGAGGGCAATGATCCACAGTTTGTTTTAATTTCTGAGGTGTGGACAGTTATCCAGAAGAACAGCACCCTCCACCACCGCTCTGGACTTGAGGTTCATCATCAATAATCTGTACGCCTCGCCTGGCAGCCCCTGGTTGACTGGAGCCATTGCCTTTTGCCCTCTCATCCACTTGTGCTGTTTCTATCATCCCTAAGAGAGGAAGAGAGCAGAAATTATTTAAGAATACAATCTTAGAATTTTCTCTTTCTGTAATTTCAATATATCACCATGATAGCCATTTCTGACTTTAAACCAGAAAAGAAACTAAAAATAATAAACATTCTGTCAGATCACTAAACAGCTTTTCCTACAAGTTTAAAAAATTAACAGCAAGTTTATTTGCTTGATATATAAAGGCCAAAATGACATAGAAAAAAATTTTTTTGGCTTGAACAAATGACTATATATAAGTATAATCCTTAAGATTTTTCAAATGTCCAAATTGTTTCAAGAACAAGTGATACTTAGGGTACAAGATTTATTCTTCAACTAGTAATGCATAATTGAAAGAATAAAAGAGTTTAACATGAAGAACAACAAATCTGGAGAATTCATGCTATCTAATTTAAAGATACAGTAGAAAGCGATTCTAATGAAGACAGATATTAGTAAAAGGAGAAATATAGAGATCAGTGGAACAGAGTCCAGATACAGACCCATGGTCACTTGATTTTTGACATATGTGCCAAGTTTATTCAACGAAGGATAATCTTTTCAAGAAAACAGTACTGGAATTGGACAGTTATATGTAAAAAATAAACCTCAATTTATACCTCTCACCAAATGCTAAATTAACAAAAAATGAATTATAGATCTAAATTTAAAACATAAAACAAAGTTTCTAGAAGAAAACATAGGAGGAAATCTCTATAGAAGAAAATCTTTGTGACTTGAATTAGGCAAAGATTTCTCACATAAGACACAAAAATTAGAGTAATAAATCAGACCTCATTAAAATTTAAACTTCTGCTCTTTAAGAGACACAGTTAAGAAAAATGAAAATACAAGACATAGATTTAGTAGTAAATAACTGCAAAATACATATCCAAAAAGGTAAGAAATGAACAGAAGGAATCCTCAAAACAGAACAAGTGTTCTTAAATTTTGGTCGAGACACTGCTCTTGAACAATGGTTTCCAAATTGAAGTTGTGGAACAATCCATTGAGATGAAATTAGAAAATGTTATAAATTCTAACTTCTACTTAGTTTTCCTCAAGCTTTAAAATTATCTATTTATGTGTTTTGTAATGTACAAAATATATTTATACTTGTGCATGTTATTTATTTTTAAATAGACATATGGGAAATGTTAAAAACTTTTTTTAAAGACATGTGATTGAAACATTTATAAGTCAGATCTGGAGTGTAGTATTCAAAGTACAGTCTGAGAGAGGACCAGCATCATCACCAGTTGGGTTAGAAATGAGAAGCTGACACCCCACCAGACCCATTTTATTTAATAAGATCCCCAGGGGATTGGTATATACAGCAGTGCTTCTCAAATTTTAGTGTGCATCAAAATCATACAGAGGGATTGTTAAAACACAGATTCTGAGCACCACCTCCTTAGATTTTGATTCATTAGGTTTGGGGTAGGTCCCAAGAATTTGCAGCATTTCTAAAACAGTCTCAAGTGCTGCTGCTGCTGAGGGCATTTTACTAAGAAAATTGTTACTCTAGAACAATTATGAATGACTTTCAGGTTTGCATAGAACTAAATTTTACTTCAAAGTTTGTGTACATGTATATTTTTCTACAGAGAAAAACCAGTTTCATCAAATTCTCAAAAGAGTCTGATGTCTATAAGTTCAAGGAATATAAATTAACAAAATCATTTCAATCTATTATTCCACAGACTTGAGTTTTCCAAAATATGTATTTTATTGGTGATATGAGAAATGACTTTCAGGGTATACACTGAGTGGCCTGATTATATGATCTCTGAACGCATAATAATCTGACCACTGAGAGAGAGAGAGAGAGAGAGAGAGAGAGAGAGAGAGAGAGAGAGAGAGAGAGAGAGAGCGCGCGCGCGCGCAAGTATTAGAGGCCCGGTGCATGAATTTGTGCATGGGTGGGGTCTAGCCAGCCTGGCCAGGGGAGGGGATATGGCTGGCCGGCCTGCCTGCTGGTTGAACACCTGGTCGAGGGGGCATTTGCATATTAGCCTTTTATTATATAGGAGGATATACACTGAATGGCCATATTATGCATTCAGAGATCATAATAATCTGGCCACTCAGTGTATATAAACATTTTCCTCTCTCTCTCTCTCCCCCTCTCTTTTTTTTTTAATATATTTTATTGATTTTTTTACAGAGAGGAAGAGAGAGAGATAGAGAGCTAGAAACATCGATGAAAGAGAATCATCGACCAGTTGCCTCTTGCACACCCCCTACTGAGGATGAGCCCAAAACCAAGGTACATGCCTTGACTGGAATTGAACCTGGGATCTTTCGGTCCGCAGGCCGACGCTCTATCCACTGAGCTAAACCGGTATCGGCTTCCTCTCTCTCTTTAAGCAACTTTTTATAATAGAAAATTTCAAATGTATACATAAAATTGGAAAGAATAACATAATGAAAATCCGTATGTCCATCACAGAATTTCATCCATACCTGGCAAGCATCCTTACCATTATTTTGAATCAAATCCCATATGCATAATTTTATTCATAAATTATTCTAATATGATCTATAAAAGATAAGAAAGCTTATTAAAAAATAACTCTTGCCCTAGCTGGTTTGGCTCAGTGGATAGAGCATTGGCCTGCAGACTGAAGGGTCCTGGGTTCCATTCCTGTCAAGGGCACATGCCCAAGTTGCAGGCTCAATGCCCACTAGGAGATGTGAAGGAGGCAGCAGATCAATGATTCTTTCTCATCATTGATGTTTCTCTTTTTTTTTTCTTCTCTCTCTCTCTCTCCCTTTCTCTTCCTCTCTGAAATAAAAAAAGAAAATTAAACAAACAAATAAAACCGCTTGACCAGCTGGTGTGGCTCAGTGGTTTAGCATCAACCTATGAACAAGGAGGTCAGGGTTTGATTCTTGGTTAGGGCACATACCCAGGTTGTGGGCTCAATCCTCGGTAGGAGGCAGCTGATCAAGGATTCTCACTCTTATTGATGTTTCTTCTCTCTTTCTCTTTCCTTTCTGTAGTCAATAAAATTTTTTTTAAAAAGAAAGGAGTTCAATGGAAACAGACACTGGGGCGGAGGGGGCTTGCCTGGGGTGGAAATGGTTGGGGGAGGGGTCAACTGGGGAAAAAGGATACACATATAAAACTTTAGACAAAAGGAAGGAAGGAAGGAAGGAAGGAAGGAAGGAAGGAAGGAAGGGAGGGAGGGAGGGAGGGAGGGAGGGAGGGAGGGAGGGAGGGAGGGAGGGAGGGAGGGAGGGAGGGAGGGAGGGAGGGAGGGAGGGAGGGAGGAAGGGGTTAAAGAAAAACATTAACTACATAGTAGTAATGGTAAATGTGACAAATCAATGTGGTCACTAATGGAGATTTTAAAACATCACTTTAGAAATATTATGAATATTTTAAAAAGCCATTTCTAAATATACTATCTAAATATACCTACTTTTACAAAGGTCAAGAAAGAGTTCCTCAATTCCTTTGTTCTGTTTGGCTGATGTATGATAATGTTTTGCTCCCACAGATTCTGCATACCTTAAAAAAAATAATAATAGTACCAAATTTAATGACCTTTAATTAGCCCAGATTTAATAAAATTAAGATTAAAGCCCCGGCCGACGTGGCTCAGTTGGTTGAGCAGCTGGCCCATGTACTAAGAGGCTGCCTGTTCAATTCCGGTCAGGGCACACGGCTGGGTTTTGGGCTCCATCTCCCTTGGGGGGCGTGCAGGAAGCAACCCAGGCAGCCGACTGATGTTCCACTTTCACACCTATGTTTCTCTTTCTCTCTCCCTCTCCTTTCCTCTCTCTCTAAAGACATATAATATATATATATATATATATATATATATATATATATATATATATATAAATATAAATTACATACAGCTGTTTCATATCTCTGTACACTGAACCAAATTTTAAATGAGCACAAATTAACAAGATTTAAATTTTTTATAAGTTAACATGGAACCCAAATATTTTAAAAGTTTTTGTGACACACCATTTGATCATGATAGTTTTCTTATGCATGTGAGATTATCTTTATATACCATAGCACAGCCAAAAGTCTAGAAATTACCAATGTTAACATGCTTCACTGAATCCAACAGTTCAATCTATATTAAGACATTTGAGCATGGCTGGTGTGGCCCAGTGGTTGAGTATCAACTCATGAATCAGGAAGTCACAGTTCGATTCCTGGTCAGAGCATATGCTGGGGTTACGGGCTTGATTCTTTTCTCTCTCTCTCTCTCTGAAAATAATTTTAAAAAAACACACACAAAAAAAACCCACAAACCAGACATTTGAGTAATACCTAAATGGCACACTGCTAAGAGGAAGATTTCTACTGGGGAGTAATAGTTGGGGGTGTCATTGGGAGGGAGGTGAAGATAACACTTACGATTCTGCTTCTTGAATGGACACATGTCTCTCCTTTTCCAAGTCTATTTTGTTACCTAATTTGAAAAAGTAAATGCCAATCTTTAATATCAATTCATTATTATAACAAAATTAAGTCAATTTTAAATACGCAATTACAACTTTAATCACCTGGAAAAGTAATACAAATTCCCATCAGACTTCTAAGTGTCTTAAAATTATAAACATAACCTTTATGACATGAGGGTTGATCATATCTATCAAAGTGAATACCTCAACCTCCCTCAAATGGCTCAATGCATATCATTCCTGAAGCTGTAGTCTGTCAGAGAAAATAACATTTCCAAAGAGATCGTCCCTATTCATTGTTTCACAGTATTACAGAGACTAAGATCACTAGGAAACCTAAGCATAAACCTATGTTTCTTAGTCAAGTGTAAATAGTCCCCAATCAACTTTAGAGTCAGTCAATAATTAAGCAAGGCTACCATATTGTTCACAAAATTATATTAGGCTAGCCTCTTGGATACTAAGAGTATTTTGGTTCCCTGGATGATATAAACTGGATAAAGAAAACACTAATTATGGCTTTTTAAGCACTTCACCACCACGGAGAAGGAAACTATACTTTTTGTTTTAAAAACATGAGAGAACTTAATAGAGTATATGCACATTATAACCTAGACTCTAGATCCTAGAGAATATTAGGCTAAGTGAAATAAGTCAGAAAGAGAAAGACAAATACCACATGATTTCACTTATGTGGAATCTAAACCACAAAATAACTGAACAAAACAGAAACAAACTCACAGGTACAAAGAAAAAAAACCTCACAGACAGAGAAAAAAATTGAAGATTGCCAAATAGGTGGGGAGTTAGGGGGATGAGTGAAAAAGTGGAAGGGATTAAGATGTACAAATTGCCAGTTATAAAAAGAGTCACAGGGATATAAAGTACAAGATATGGACTATAGTCAATAATATTGTAATAACTACGTATGTTTTCAGATGGATACTAAACTTATTGAGGTGATGACTTCTTAAGTTATATAAATGTCTAATCACCATGTTGTATACCCGAAACTAATATATTTTATGTCAATGGTAACTGAAAAAAAAATATATATGTGCACATCATACAAATTTAAAATTACTGAAAATAAATTTAGCCCTCCTTTAACAAGGGAACCAAACTGAGATTATGGTAAAAAGCCACCAGAACAAAAGTGAAGACACTCCAAAATGCAGATTCCTTATTAATTGCAGGATAGAAGTAAAAGTGAGTTGGCTGGACACACCAAGTGCTAAAGGTAATGGAAAGAACAGATAGGAATGGGGGAAAATACCCTAAGGAATTCCCTAAGGAATTCAAACAATAATTTTAATTTTTTCTATTATGACTGGGGTGGGAGGTGGGGGCGAAGAGGAAACCTTGTAAATAAAGTTCTTTTTCTTAAGGCCTTAGAGAATATATTATAGAAGAGCACTGAAGTAAAAGCACCTAATGAAAGATGCAATGCTTAGAACTGAGAAGTAGGCCCAGAGGTTCTACATGTAAAGGACCTCAAATAATCTGAACACTTAATTGTAAGCAACTGCAATTAACTACCTGTCTATAATCTAAGGAAAGGGAGGGAAGTAGTCTAAAGCTCAGCAGGTAACAAATTTAGTAATGAATTCTTCCCCTTTGAACAGTTACTTGTCTACCTCAGCAGGAAGGTACATATTAGTTCTGATTTTCTACATTAAACTTTTCCAATAACAATTTTAAATTGCTGAATATTACAGCCAATATATTCAACAGACACCAAAGAAAGTTTTATTTATGCTAAAAGAATGCATAAAGCACCACCTAGTGGCCAGTGGCTCCAAAAAACAAAGACACAATATTCTGCCACTCTTAAAAAGGTAAAACAAGATTGCCTCCTAGAGGTAGCAAGACCTTTGTTCCAATTAACTAAAACCCTAGAAGGGTTTTTTCCTAGATCTTTTTGCACCCTTTTCCCCCAAATTCCATCTGAATTATTAATATTTATTTTTTTCCATGTAATTGTTTTTATTGTTTTTAGAGAGAAAGGAAGGAAGAGGGAGAAATAGAAAAATCCACGAGAAAGAAACATGAACATGGATCAGATGTCTCCTGGACATGTGCCCTGACTGGGAATCGAACCAGTCAATATTTATTTTTTTAAAATGAGAATAGAAAGCATACTGCCTCAAATGATTACTGAGAAGAAATTAGTTTTATTATTTAGTAACATTTTAAACTTAACTAACTTTAATAAATTCAGTTAATAAACTAGCCATTTTAATTACTTAATTATTATTTTAAACAAAACATTTTAAATCTCTCTATAAAATAACTACTATTTCTTTGAACAATCAGTGTTCATAATGGATTGGGTAAGCACAGACTAAGTCACAGAAAACTGCCTGTTAGCAATCTTTCAAAGCTCAAAACCTTCTTAGTTCCTATATTCTTTTAAAAGCAAGACAGCTGAAGAATTAAGGCTTTAAGGCTCATATCTGTTTCAATATAATGGTGCAGCTAACACCTACTTGTAAATATAGTACTAGAAAGATTACAAAAAAAATGGCTAAAGCTACTGGAGTGGGTAGAGCTTTTTTCCACCCTGTTAAGAATAGTAAAAATTTTATCTTCTTTAAAAACACATATTTGACTTAAGAGCAAAGAGGGCCCAATAAAGAGCTAGAACCATATTTTGCTTAAATTGGAGGGTGTCTGGTCTAGTAATAAGCTTTCAAAAGCCTTTTAAATCTGAAGAAAATTTGTTAGGTCCAGGCTCATTTCATGGCTATAAGATTTCAGGCAAATTACTTAATCTCTCTTAGTCTCACTTTATACAAATATAGTTAACAAACTTTGCAGGGCTGATATGAAAATATGATATATATACTAAGCTTAGCATACAGTACATGTTCAATAAAGTAGTTATTAATATTAGCCATATTAATTACAATGAATGATCAAATGGAAAATCAATCTTGTTATGAGAGTTAAAGCCCATGATAGATACTTTCTACCACCATGCTGCTGGCTCCATCTAGCTAACTTAGTTAACCCCATGCTCTAGGAAATCTTTCCCTAACCCTTGACACCCTAAATTTAGTTAGATTTGTTTCTGAACTATCACAGCACTCTGTAGTACTCCACCCTTCATAGCATTTATCATCCTAATATATAAAAAGCCAGAGCTGTCACGACCAAAACAACCAGATGGACAACCAGACAGACAACCGAACAAAAGGCTGCATGGGTGACCAGGCCAACAGGAGGGTTAGTGAGGGATGACCAAATGACTGAACAGCAGGCTACATGGGGCGACCAGGCCAGTGGGGGGTAGGGGGGAACACTGAGGGGCAACCAGGTCAGTGTTGGGGGGGCCGTTGGGGGCAACCAGGCTGGCAGGGGGGCAGCTAGGGGCAAACAGGCCAGTGTTGGGGGGGCCGTTGGGGGCAACCAGGCTGGCAGGGGGGAAAGTTAGGGGAGTTCAGGCCAGCAGGCAGAGGCAGTTAGGAGTGATCAGGTAGGCAGGCCGGTGAGCAGTTAGGAGCCAGTGGTCCCGGATTGGAGAGGGTGCAGGTTGGGCTGAGGGGACCTCCCATCCATGCACGAATTTCGTGCACTGGGCCTCTAGTAATGCAAAATAGCTTGTTTTTTTCTCTCTCCTTACACAATAAACTCTGAGAAAACAAAGGCATTATTTATTTTGTTTACTTATTCACTACACAATTCCTAAAGCCTGGTACATAGTAAGCAATATATAATGGTGATTAAGGATATGGGCTTGAAGTAACAGACAGACCTTTCTGAAAATCCCAAGTCTACCTCCAACTACCTATGTATTTTGGAAAGTATCAAGCTCTCCAAGTCCATTTCCTCAGGTGTAAAATAGAAATGGCAAAAATACCTCCCTTGCAGTACTGTCAGGAGGTGTAAACGAAATAATAAACATGTAGTTCTTAGAAAAGTACCTGGCACTCAATAAATAACTTATTATAATAAATATTTGGCACTGGCAGATGTGGCTCAGTTGGTTGGGTGTTATTCATGTGTAGAAAGATTGCTGGCTCAATTCCTGGTAAGGGCACATGGCTGAGTTTTGGGCTAGACTCCTGGTTGGGAGCATGCAAGAGATAGTCTATTGATGTTTTGCTCTCACATCTATGTTTCTCTCTCCCTCTCCCTTTATCTCTCACTTTTAAAAAAATTTAAAAAGTAGTGAAAATAAAAATAATATTTAACAAACATACAAATGTTAAGGGCAGACTAAAACCAAAATATTATCAAATAGAGCAAATAGGATGGTAATCAATAGATTATTAAAACCTAGAGTGGGAAAAAGTCTCTGCCAGTGAGATATAAAGTTCTCTACTATTGGTTAACACATTATCAGAGGCTTAAATAAAGACCTACAAGGCTCAGAATTTACAGCTATTCAGAAACATAAGATAAGTTGAAATTCCTATACTTAGGCTTAAATAACAATTAGAGAAGAACAAGATGGGAAAAGTCTGACAAAAGAGCAATACTTATAAAAAAGTAATTCAGATTTTTGTTGTCTATAATCTACATAAAAAGAGACACTGACTTGACATGGCTAACAAGTGTATACAATCTTGGGCAAAATGTTGCTAGAAGGACAGTGAGGATTAAAAAAAGAGAGAGAGAGTGCCATATAAGTATACACTGGCTCAATAATATTTGATTCCAGCCGAAACCAGTTTAGCTCAGTGGATAGAGCATCTGCCTTGAACTGAAAGGTCCCTGGTTCGATTCCAGTCAAGGGCATGTACTTTGGTTGCGGGCACATCCTCAGAAAGGGGTATGCAAGAGGCAGCTGATCGATGAGTCTCTTTCATCGATTTTTCTAATTCTCTATCCCTCTCTCTTCCATTCTGTAAAAAATCAATATATTTTAAAAAATAATAATAATATTTGATTCCAGGGTTAATTTTAAGCATAGGAGATACCCTGATACATTGACATAAACCCATAAAAAATAATTAGGATGATAAAAATGTTTGGAAGTCAGACTAATAAAAAAGTTGAAGACCAAGAATATAAGACTGTAGGTAAACTATCCAGCAGGCTTCAAAGGTTTGAAAGGTTGTCTTATGTTCAGGAAAAGGAACAAATATTTGTCCAATGCCTTCACTATGCTAAGTGTTCTCCAAATCATATCTAATCTTCACCACAATTTTGTGAGGTATTATTATTTTGAATTTAATGATAAAACAAAAGAACTATTGCAGAGAATAGAATGAACATTACTAGGTGAAAAAAGTAATGCAAATGTTCATCAACAGCAAAAGGATAAACTGTAGAATATTCAGGATAAAGTATTAGATAGCAAAGAGAATAAAATGAACTACATCTATATACAAGAATGCAGAAAAATCTTGAAAACATCATGTAAAGCCAAAGAAATCAGACACAAAAGAGTTCATTATCTACGATTACATTTATAGAAAATTCAAAACAAAACTAATCCATTAAGTATAAAGTCAAGATAGTGTTTGGCAGTAGGAGATGGTGAGGAAAAGGCAGCTGGGTAATGTGGGGATGAGAAAGAAACACAGGTGAGGCTTCTAAGGTACTGGTGATATGACTTTATTAACTGTGAAATTTTTTTTTTGGAGATAAATGGGCTCTCCAAATTCTTCCAGCTCTGAATTACAATTAAAATCCCATGTCACATTTGCCAAGAGGAAAGAAAAGAGAGTGAGCTTTTTATACTTTATACCAATCATTAATAAACAGTATATAACATGAAATATGAATATTTTACCCTACTTAGAGTAGTAAACTACCAGACACAATATTCCTAAACCTTCTTATAACATGAACATGAAGAATATACAGTTTACATTAATTAAGCTTAATATTCATAAGCTTATTTACCTAGTTTTTAAAAAATGTTACTTTATAACTTGGTCAAGTAACAAGCTCCTGAGACTTCTTTGAATATATATTAGCCATTTCTTTCTTCCAAGAGATAATCCCAATTCTAAATACTCAAATATTTATTTGTTAATAATCATAGCCACTACTATCCCCAGCAAGTCCCATATACCACAGAAAGGCAGGCCAAACACACTAGTGACTAGATACAACTTTGGCCCCAAACCCCTATATAGCCTACTATCTCAGTGTTCAGTTCTGAAATATTCCTACTATCTTGCCTAACATGTAGCATCTATCTCTCCCTCTCTCTAAGCATGCTCTCAGATGACGATTTTTAAAAATGTATTTAGTTAAATGTAGAGACTAAGAACACTAGCGTAAGTAATTGGTTTTAATTTTAGTTCCTGAACTTATTTTCTAAATAAAATCTTATGGTGAAAGAGTAAAAGTCAAATTGAAACAAGGGTGGGGACTTAAAGCCTTACATGTTTAGCTTCCCATTTGTTCCCCAAGGCATTCGTGAGGTACAGAGTTTGAATCTCCTAAAAGAGCACTTTCAAATACTATATTATTCCAAAACATTATGCATTAAAATGCCATTCTTCTTTTCTCATATAATTTTAACATGAGAATTACTAGTTACTATTCTTTAACAAAGCATTAAGAAAACAAAGGAGATTTAAAAAAAAATAATGATGCTTACCAACTATACATAAACAGATTTCATTTCCCAACATTTTCCGCAATTCTTTGACCCAGTTTTTTACCTATGTATATAAAAGAATTAATATTAAAACAAATTGTTACAAGACTACCATTACAACACCCCAAAATTCAACAGTGTCAAAATACCTCAGAATTTGGCTAACCACCATATATTTAGTTGTTACCAGGAATGATTCACAGTAAGATTATTTATTGCCAGGTTATATTATAAACAACATGCATACAAACATTCAATAGAAATATTTATCTCTATGTTTACATACAGGTACAGAGAGAAGTACCTCTTATTACAAATGTTCGTAAATCTTCTATAGATTCAGCAAAGCTATTCACCAGGGCAAAAGCATGTCTCTAATAACAGGTACTTGATAGAGTAACTTTGGACTTAAGAACACAAGAACTTAACCCAACTGGTTCTGAAATAGAGAGCATAGGAGCTTCTGTGTCACACACTTAAAGGAAAATATTGGCTCAGATGATTCTCTGTTATGAGGGACTGTTCTGTGCAATCAATATATGATTTTTAGCAGCAAACCTGGCCTCCTAACCACTATGCCAGTATCACCCTCCAGTTGTGACAACCACAGATGTGTGCAGACACTTCCACCCACTCCTGGAGAATCACTGGTATACAATGACTCCAATAACAAGCTGCTACTTTATTATGGATGAACCATAGCAGTAGGCCCAGTTGGGAGTAAACTAGAATTAAGAAAATTAATCTTTTGAAGCCATGATTTTAATAATGTTGACTACAACAAAATAAGATAAAAAATAAACCTGGATACCTCCTTTCATTTTTTTTGTAATGGAATTTATTCTGTATGCAATCAAATTACACAGAACTTATATATCTTCAAAAAAAATTACATACATATCTATTTATAAATTACAAATATTACATTAAATATATGGTAAGAATTTACTGTGCATCTGGTCCAATGGTAAAAATGTAGTAGCATTATACTCCTATTCTCTGCAAGAATGTAGAGGAATTCTTTAGTAAATCCAAAATCTTTAAAAAGCAAAGGTAATCTTTATCACTACCTTTGCTTTGCAATAGCACTGAACCAGTTTTCTCAGAACAGCCCCATCTTTTTGCTTTACTCACATGAATATAAAGTTTTCAGATAAGCATTTAATTTCTGCCCCTAGTTGACTTCACATAGTAAGAAAAATTTGATAGTACTGGTATAAAATGTCCATCCTATTCATTTCAAAGGAAACATGTGTGAATCCAATTACGTATTACTCTGCTCTCTATACATATGGTATCATAAATCTAACTAGTTAAAAAAAATGTTATTCACCTCCAATAAGATCTCCTCCACAGGCATCTAATTCATTACCCCATACATTCTGTGGTGAGTTAAAGATCGTCACAAATTCTTTGCCAATCTTCCTATCAAGAGGCAGACTCTATTTCCCTTTCCTCTGAATTTGGGCTAGCCTTGTCATTTGCTTTGACCAAGAGAACATGGCAGAAATAATGCTATGCCAGTTCCAGACCTAAGCCTTAAGAACTGGCAGCTACAATCTTCGGATCCAGTTATCATATAAGAAGCTTAGGCTAGAATATGGAATAATGAGAGAGCATGTGGTGAGAGAACCAAAAGATGAGACACCAAATGGAGTGAGAAGCCATATGGAGGAGAATGAGGCTGCCTTGGATGGTTCCAGTCCAGCTAAACTCCTAGTTCAATGCAACTGCATAAATAACTCTGCTGACATCAAATATAACAGAGGACGCACAAAATCATGAGAAATAGTAAATAGTTTTAAACAACCAAGTTTTAGGAGTTTTGTTATGCAGCAAAATAAATGGTCACTTTTCAACTAAGAGACTTAACCTTCTCTATTCCTCTGTCTTTTTGTTAATCCTCACCAGAGGATATTTTTCCCATTGAGGAAGAGTGGGAGGGAGCGAAAAGGGGGGAGAGAGAAACATCAATGTGAGAGAGACATGTGGATTGGTTGCCTCCTATACACACCTTGATCAGGGTCAGGGGGTGAACCCCCAACCCAGGTACGTGCCCTTGACCGGGAATCAAACCTGTGACCCTTTGGTTCAAAGGCCAATGCTCTAAACTCTGAGCAACACCGGGCAGGGTTCAACCTTCTCTTTATCAAGAAGATACCCAAACCATTTTTTTTTAAATGTAAAAAGGCAGGAAGGGCTCTGGCCAGTGTGACTTGGTTGGAGCATCGGCCTGGAATACTAAGAGGTGGCAGGTTCGATTTCTGCTAAAGGCACATACCCAGGTTGCAGGTTCCATCCCCAGTCAGGGCATATACAAAATGCAACGAATCAATGTTTCTCTAACACATTAATGTTTCTCTCTCCCTCCCTCCCCCTCCAAGATCAAATTTTAAAATTATATTAAAAAATTTAAAAAGGCAGGAAGGGATAACAAATAGCACCAAATAGAAGCCCAAAAATAACTATTTAAAAACAACTTTAAGCCGAAATTGGTTTGGCTCAGTGGTAGAGAGTCGGTCTGTGGACTGAAAGGTCCCAGGTTCGATTCCGATCAAGGGCATGTACCTTGGTTGTGGGCACATCCCCGGTAGAGGGTGTGCAAGAGGCAGCTGGTCGATGTTTCTCTCTCATCGACGTTTCTAGCTCTCTATCTCCCTCCTCCTCTCTGTAAAAAAATCAATAAAATATATTAAAAATAAATAAATAAATAAAAAATAACTTTAAAATATCATTAAATCTGCAGTTATTTCATTTTCCTACCCCTTAAACTAAGTTTTTCCATGTCATCAATAATCTAAGGGAAGCATGTCAAACTCACGGCCAGCTGGCTGCATACCTCATTTATTTAAACGAGGCATGCAGCCCATTGGCTGCAAGTTTGACACGCTTGATCTAAGAGCTAACATATATCTGCTTCATCAGTTACTAAATGTTCGAAGATAACAGAAAAGGAAAAAAAAAAAAAAAACATTAAAAACGCAAGCAATTTCAACATGAAACAACTATAACTCAAGCTAAGATAACTTTTTGCTTTGGATATTACTCCTTTTGATTATACATCCTTGAAAAATTCCAAAAGGGGCTTTCAGAGGAAAGGTCAAATAAGTAATCAGTCACTATTCTAATAGTGATTACAATCTATATAAATAAAACCCTAACATGCAAATAAACCAAATGGTGGAACAATTGAACAACCAGTCACTATGATGTGCGCTGACCACCAGGGGGTGTGTGTACAATATGGCAGGTGACAGAGCACGGATCATGGAGGGCATTGGCTGTGGTGGGATGAAGCAGGTAAGCAGGCGTGCCAGACCAAGCACTGGTCACTGTCATGGGGGAGAGCCTCTGGTGGTTACTGAAAATTCTTTGCTCACATGTGCTGTAGTCCCGCCAGGCTCTTGGATCTGCTGTTAGGGCCAGCCCTACTTGCATCTGCTGACGATCTCTCGGCGCTGTCAGCAGGTGTGAACAGTGGCTGCTGGCCCCAATCACCCCGGAGGGCTTCTCCACTCCTATCTCCTGAGGGATGATGGGGGCAGTAGATGCCACTTGCACCCACAGATGGTGCCAGCCCTGCTCACACCTGCCCCAATTGCTCCCCACTGTTAGCAGGTGCAAGTGGGGACAATGTCGTCAGCGCTTGGAAACGGTAGGAGCAGGACTGCCTGTCAATAGGAGGGGGGCTGCCAGCAGACAGGAGACTGGGGCCGAGGTGGAACGGGCCGCAGTGGGAGCAGAAGATGGGCCAAGATCCGCCCCAGTGCCCACTGCAGCTTCCCAACCCACAATTTCTTTCAAGGTGCACAAATTCATGCATGGGGCCCTTAAGTTCAAAGATAAGGTTTTTGTTTTTTATAAATATACTAGAGGCCCAGTGAACAAAATTCGTGCAGGGGGGCAGGGTGGGGGTGTATCTCAGCCCGGCCTGTACCCTCTCCAATCTGGGACACCTTGAAGGATGTCCTACTGCTGGTTTACAAAGATCCGGCCTAAACTGGCAGTCAGATATCCCTCACAATCCCAGACTGCTGGCTCCTAACCACTCACCTGCCTGCCTGCCTGCCAGCCTGCTCACCCCTAACCACTCTGCCTGCTGGCCTGCTCGCCCCCAACTGCCTCCCTTGCTGGCCTGCTCACTCCCAACTGCCCCCCTGCTGGCCTGCTCACTCCAAACTGACACCCCCTGCCCCGTCACTGTCCTGATCACCTCCAACTGACTCCCACTGATGGGGTGAGGGACTAAGAGCTGTTTTCAGGCTGGCCACACCCCCTTCAGGGTGGGGGTCCCCACTGGGATGCCTGGCCAGCCTGGGTGAGGGGCTGATGGCTGTTTGCAGGCTGGCCAACCCCCCCAGCAGAGACCCTCACCCCAGGGGAGTGTGACCAGCCTGGGTGAAGGGCTGAGGGCTGTTTTCAGGCTGGCCATGCCCTCCAGTGATCCAGGCTCCCAACCCCTCCTTTTTTTCCTTTTTTTTCAGTGCCTTCTTAAGCAGAGACCAGAGTTGGCTGGAAGCAGGTATTTGGGATTTGTCTTCTACAACTGAAACTTTGTAACTTTGAGCGGAGGCCAGGACCAGTCAGTGCAGGCAGGAAGCTTGGCTTCCTCCATTGCCAGGGGCAACCTAAGCCTCCTACTCTCTCCAGCTCCGTGGCTGTTGCCATCTTTGTTGGGTTAATTTGCATACTCAATCCTGATTGGCTGTGGGTATAGCAGAATGATGGTTAATTTGCAGGTGTCTCTTTTATTAGTGTAGATTTCTTTATTGATTTCAGAGAGGAAGGGAGGAGAGACAGAAACATCAATGATGAGAATCTTTGATAGGCTGCCTCCTGCACACCCCCTACTGAGGTTCAAGCCTGAAACCCAGGCATGTGCCCTTGGCTGGAATTGAACCTGGGAACCTTCAGTCAGCAGACACTGAGCCAAGCCAGCTAGGGCCAGAGATAAGTTTAATGGTGGTAACTAATTTTTAGTCCCAATTCTGTATTGTTGATGTACAAGCCTGGATGGCTCAATGGTTGAGCATCAACCTATGAACCAGAAGGCCACAGTTCGATTGCCAGTTAGGGCATATGCCAGTGTTGCAGGCTCGATCCCCAGTGTGAGGTGCACAGAAGGCAATTGATCAATGATTCTCTTTCATCATTGATGTTTCTATCTCTCTCTCCCTCCCTAAAATCAATAAAAATATTAAAAATAAATAAATAAATAAATAAATAAAAAGGGGTGAAAAAATTTGAGAACTTTACAGTAAACACTTTTTAAAGTTATATTATATCCTCCAGAACATTTAGTGAGGAGAAAGAGCTTAAATTTGATTTAGTTCTTTTTCTCTTCACAATTAGGAAGCCCATGCAGCTGTACCAAGATTTCAGTTGCCCAATATGCCTATGAACAGTTGCCCAGTATCTAAGAAATGCACGTGATTTTTCTTTAACAGGAAAGTAAAAAGCCCCTATATTTTCCTGAAGTTTTACTTCAGATTCCCTTCCTAAGATCTAAGAAAGTCATATAATTTTAACTATTAATAACTGGTGTTCATATTGTTAACACGAATTAAATACTCCATTAAAAAACATGAGTGGTCACAATTTATATACAAACTATACCTTTAAAATCAAAACTAATCACATTAGTAAACAAAAGCATGTTAAAGAAACTTGAAAAATCAGTGTTGTTCTTCTATTAAGTCATCTATTTATAAATAAATAAAATACCTTCTGAAAAGAATCTTCATCTGTTATATCATAAACTAAAATAGCTCCATTTGAATCTCTGTAGTAAATTGGACCCAATGCATGGAATCTCTCTTGACCTGCTGTATCCTAAATAAAGAAGTAAATGCTTATTATATCAGAGGGGGAAAAAATACACCTATTGCAATTATAGTAAACTTTTGACTAAACGTTCATAACCACAAAAAGTGGGGCATGAAGTTATAGATAACCACAAAACACTGTTAAAAGAAACAAAGCAGGTTACAAAAACGTTTTAAAACTCAAGTTATAATCAATATTTAATGTTTTATTGTTATACAAAGTTTCTATTTCCCTTCCCAACCATCTTCCTCCCCAGCAATCTTCCCACTCCCACTAAAAAAAACAGTTCGGTTTCCTCAGGGTCAGAATGACCAAGATGGCATTGTAAGCCAGGAATAGGCCTGGCCCTAAAGTTAGGCTTTCCGCAGAGGGAAGAGACAGGAAAGAGAGGAAGCACCAGGACTGACTGCCAAAGGTACCCTATTGCATCACCCTCACCCTTTTCCCCACTCGTCACTTCCTTAGAAGAGTGGAACATAGAGACCAGGGGGAAAAGGCCACGTGGGCCTGGCCTGTGTGGCTCAGTTGGTTGAGTGTAGTCCTGTACACTGAAGGGTTGCCAGTTCAATTCCTGGTCAGGGCACATGCTCAGGTAGTAGGTTTGTGTGCAAGAGGAGGCCAAGTGAATGTTTCTCTCTCCCTCTCCTTCTCTCTTCCCCTCTAAGATAAAAAATTTAAAAACAAAACATATTTTTAAAAATGGCTAGGCAGCTTTCCTGTCTCTAACATGGAATTACCTGAGTTAATCTTTACCCAGCTGAAAAGTTATGATAACAATATTCATGTATATAATGGTATTCAAGATATAATTATTAACCAGATTTTAGGGAAAAAAATATTTTAAAAAGTTTTGGCTAATCTAGAGTTAATTTTTTTAAAAATTCAAAATTTCAAGTAACTATGCCTTGAGTCAACAGTTATCCAAGTACAAAGATGACAGAGGACTTAACTTTCAAGGTTAACTTACCCATATAGCAAGGTTTACTCTTTTTCCACCAATGTTTAACTTCTTTGTTAAGAATGATGCCTAAGAAAACAGAGATATACATTAAACAATGTTTCATATAAAATAATGTTTTTTAACTTAACTATAGATGAATAAATCATCTCAATATGAATCCCAAGTTATCTGAGTGAAAAAATAACCACTGAATTTTTATGAATGTTTACTGAGAAAACATTTTCAATGAAGCAAGAAAATTACTTACATTCTAATTTAAGAAAAATATAGTTTTATAAGCATGTTATAAAAAACACAAAGAAGCCGAAACCGGTTTGGCTCAGTGGCTAGAGCATCGGCCTGCAGACTGAAAGGTCCCGGGTTCGGTTCCGGTCAAAGCATGTACCTGGGTTGCGGGCACATCCCCAGTAGGGGGTGTGCAAGAGGCAACTGATCGATCGATGATTCTCTCTCATCGATGTTTCTAACTCTCTATCCCTCTCCTTTCCTCTCTGTAAAAAAATCAATAAAATATATTTTTAATAAAACAAAAAACAGAAACTGTACTTAAATATTTTTTTTAATTTTTTCCCATCAAAAATTTTCTTAGAGTATTGAATTTGATACCACCTTAACTACTCAATATAGAGTCTAAGAGATTTCTATGATGAGATAAAACAAATGTTTACTAGTAATTTACTTAATGTATAAATACCAATATTACCCAAAAATATTCTTGCAATTATTTTATAATTCAATTATTTCATCTCTATCTAATACTTTTCCTAGATACTAATGTCACAGTAATGAAAGGAAACAGTTCCAACCTTCAAGAAACTTATGTCTATTGTAGAAATAAAAATGTAGAGAATAAAAATACCATGTGATCATTGTTAAGATGAAGAGTCTTGCCAAGTATATTAGAAGGGGGAAGGGAGAGCTTAAAAAAGGAAATGTAAAGCCAGCGTGGATAAGTCCAAGGCAGTTTCAGAGAAAAGGTGATGATCTCCCCTTTACCCGCAATAGGGGTTTTCCTGACAGATGAGTGAAACCTCTGAAAGCTGAAACATGTAATTCCTTGTCCCATGGCAAACTTCACATTATATGGTCAATGCAAGATAAGACTACAAATACAGCAAACCCTCCATTTTGCAACTTCAATTTAATGGACAAAATTTCCTGTCTGTATGTCACATGTGAAAATTAACACCCTGTTAATTTTAAAATGCTTTTAACCAAGATTTGCTTATAATTAAATAGTTTTTGTTGTTGTTAATTCAGTCCCCCTTCTCCTGAAATAGAGTTTTGATTTCAGAGAGGAAGAGGAAGGGAGAGAGAAATAGAAACATCAATGATGAGAGAGAATCATTGATTGGCTGCCTCCTACACGCCCCATGTGGGGATCAAGCCTGCAACCTCCTGATTCATAGGTCAACGCTCAAACACTGAGCCATGCCAGCCGGATGTTTTCACTGTTATTTTTTAACAAATTTTCTCGAATAGGCCATATGTTAGAAAAAACACTGTAGTAATTTCGCCAACTTGAATATTACATGTCTACAACTGTAGTCTATCTATCAAATCCAAGAGTTACTGCTCGTAAACAATGTTCTGCAAATGATTACCACGTGATCATACTGCACTACATGTAGTAACTGGTTCTGTTGTCACATGTTGTGACTTTCTGCAGCAGTTTTAACATGTGCAGGCAGATGTTCTAACATGCATTAAACAGCGCTCCAGCATGAGCATTTGTTTACTCATAGTGAATGCACACATTTCAATTTATCCAGTATAAATTTAAAATTACTATAATACATACAGAAAACTTCTCTTTGAAATTACGCATAGTCATTAATAATACACAATCATTTCTACTATTGCTAATATCAGCTAACAGTTATGGAATGATTACCTTCTGCCAAGTACTATGCTAAGTATCATTTTTAAAAAAAAATTTTAATTGATTTTTAGAGAGAGGAAGGGAGAGGGGACAGAAAGAAACATGAGAGTGACATTCACATCGTACAGCTGCCTCCAGCATGCCACTACCCAGGATTGAGCTGTAACCCAGGCATGTACCCTGACTAAAAATTAAACTGGCAATCTTTTGGTGCATGGGACAATGCCCACCCAATTAAGCCACACCAGCCAGGGCTGTGCTAAACACTTTTTACAAGATCATTCATAAAGTTCTCCTTTATACAAGTTAGGGAACCCCAATCCTATATAATAAAAGGCTAAATGCAAATCGACCGAATGGCAGAACAACCAGTAGCTATGAAGCGTACTGACCACTGACCACTGAGGGGAAGACGCTCGATGCAGGAACTGTCCCTCGGTGGCCAGTGCGCTCCCACAGGGGGACACTGCTCAGGCAGAAGCCGGCTCATGGCTGGCGAGCGCAGTGGCGGTGGCGGGAGCCTCTCCTGCCTCCGCGGCAGCACTGAGGATGTCTGACTGCCAGCTTAGGCCCGCTCCCCATGGAGCAGGCTTAAGTCATCAACTGGACATCTCCTGAGGGCTCCCGGACTGTGAGAGGGCACAGGCTGGGCTGAGGGACTCCCCATCCAACCCCCCCCCCATCCCGTGCACAATTTTCGTGCATCAGGCCTCTAACCTACAAATAAAAATCTCAAAGCCTTATCTTTGTATTCAAGGACCTCCACAATGTGTCTACATCTGTCTTCCCAAGATAGCTTACAGTATTTCTTTACTTGCTCTTCAACTTATCTGGGCTATATACAGTCCCTCCAATTCTGTTTTGTTTTGTTTTTTTCCATTAAATACCTCCTCTAACTTGGGCCTATTCTTTATCTGAATCATATATATATCAAACTTCTGTTCTGACCTATACTCTTCTTCCTTATATTCTTAGGTTTTTCTCATACAACCCACAATGAGTCTCTCTATCCTAAAGAATTTTACAAACCCCAATCTTGTAATATACAGCATATACTACCTTATATTGTAAATTATCTTTTCATAGGTGTAACTCTTGTGTTAACAAAAATCACATATTTTTATTAACACTTTTGCAGAGCTTATAATAAAATAAGCAGTCTTCTAAGAACTTTTAATGGTAACTCAGTTAATTCTCATAGCACCTTGTGAGTTATATGTATTACTAGAGGCCTGATGCACGAAATTTGTGCAAGAGTAGGCCTTCCTTCCCCTGGCTGCCGGTACCGGCTTCCCTCCGGCTCCCAGGACCTGGGCTTCCCCTCTGGCCACCAGCAGGCACCTGGGACCTGGGCTTCCCTCACAGCCCCGGCTTTGTTCAGAAGGTTGTCCGGAAAGATGTCTGGTCTAATTAGCATATTATGCTATTATTACTATATATTATCCAAAAATTATGTATGTAAAAACTGAGGTACAAAAAGGATAAGTATCTTGCCCAAGTCACACAGTAAGTGATATAGTATAATAAGATTTGAAATCCAGGTAGTTTGGCTCCAAAGAGAACTTATAGCTTCTATGCTCTAGTACCTCCCAGACTGAGATCTGGGCTAACACTTCTTCTGCAGAGATAGGGGCAGGCAGAGTAGTACCAACACCCACACAGATGAAAATCCGCATAACTGTAGACTTCCCTAAAAACTTAACTACTGAGCCTACTATTAACAGGAAGAAGACTTAACGGTAACACAAACAGTTGGTTAACACATATTTTGTATGTTATATGTATTATAAACTGCATTGTCATAAAAAATAAGCTAGAGGAAAGAAAATATTAAGAAAAATCATGAAAAAATAAATTTAAGCACTGAACATATTTATTGAAAAATCCACATGAAATTCAAATCAATGTTGTTTAAGGGTCAACTGTATTGTTATTACAGATAAACACATTTACAAAGTGCCTGGGTAAATCAATGGAGGTACCAGTATCTATATTACAAAGGCCAGTGGCTGTAATGCCATAACGCCCGGTCACTAGGAGGTGCATTGATGGGTCTCACAGCGTGGCGAGAGTCATTCGGGGTCCCACCAGCACAGCGGGTCTAGGTCTTGCACAATTTTTTTCATGCACTAGGCCTCTAGTAACTCTATAATAGAGATATGTTCCTAAAAGCTTCCTTATAAACCAAAATTATTTTAACTCAAATATCTGATGCACTCATAAAGCACATTATCAAAGGGTCCCCACTAAAGCTTTTTTCCCCTGCATTCATAGTGAAAAATGTAAGTCCTACTTTATAGAAAAACTCCTTCTGTAATATAAGTCATCTCATTTTACCGACATCCTAAGTTTTTAATATTCTGTATTTTCTTAAAGAGCAAACATCTAGTTTTGAAAACATACAATTATATATTTGAGAATAAAGTTGAAAAGACTTTATGTAACAGTAAGATAGCAGCAAACGATCAAAAGCTGAAATTTGTCTTACCCTCTTTAACCACCTCTATGAGGCACACACTTAAATTTGTCAAGCCTACTGATACTACTTATGGTTACAATACTCTGGGCAGTGGTTTTTAATTCTGTTACATGTCAGAGAGAGTTAGAGGGGGAGTGTTTATGGACTTCTTAGAGAATCTGATGAAAACTATGAATTCACTCACTCCCAAGAAAACTGCTCTGTGTTTGGACATTCTCATTTAATCTTTGTAACAACCCTGTAAAGTAGGTAATTATCCCTATTTTACAGTTGTGAACATAAGATTTAAATAATACAGTGACATCAAAGGTGAGATAACTGAGTCAGGTGCTACAGTGGATGAAAGCCTGTCCAACTCCTCAGTGCTTTTTCTATTGCTCAATGCTGCCTATTCTAGAACATACACACATTCTTAACCTGGCACTCCTCTGCTTAGACACTAAGTATTTCTGGATGCCAATTCATCTCCCAAAATATTCTCAGGGTAGGCACAAGGTAATGAGGATCAAAGTAAACAGTACATTTCCCATCTTACTCCTTCAAACACTGAGTTACAGCACCACTACTTCTAATTCCAATGACTTCATCTTCCAAACCACAGGGGTATTAACAAAATTAGCAATCTTATTAGTTCAAGACTGGCATCTGTCATTTGCACCTGAGGCTGGCTTATTTTGCCCATCTTATAAAAAATCTTGGCGGATA